TGAGAAGCAACTAGCAAACTTCACAATTGTACGGGGAGTTTTATCTCTTCCTCTTTACCTTTCCTTTTCAGTGAACAAAAATAAAGTGAGACTGAGTAAAAAGAGACACGGGCGACTGGTGCGGTAGTAAAAAGATGACTTCAACGGAGCTCCAAACGCTTTCACGGTCAGTCTTGACAACAGGCCGATGCACAAGAGGGATTTTGTCTGTTTCCAGTTAAATTAGATTCAAAGAAAAATGAATCAGGTGAATACAACAGCAGGCCGAGCGTCACAGGGGGAATCCACCCATCTTCAGTGTCTCATGGTTGGAAATCACTTCCTTGTAGGATTATGGTGTGCTTAGGCTGTAGTCTTGTTTGTCGAAGAGAACAGATTTAAAGAAAGGCAAACAGAAAACCCAAACACATTACTGTTTGTCTGTGATCACCATGGCTGACTGGCCGCAGAGGTTTGAAGTCAAAGACTTATACAGAGAACATGAGGAAACAATTTCAAAATATTTAATTCAAAGGTCTAATGCTTTAAATCTGCCACAAAAATTCTGAAACACTTTTCATTTTAAATAAAAATCTGTTTCGAACAAATATGAAAAAATGTGGATATGTTTTAGTCAAGTGTTTCACACCTTCCCTCCGTAAAGCAGTCACACAAAGACAAAACAACACACCATAGTGTGATAAACTGAGTCACTGTATTCAGTCACTCAGCTGAAAAAACCCCAAAACTTTATTCTGACACGGTAAGTTTCCACTTTTAGCTGTTTCAAATCAACAGTGAATTTCACGGGAGAACAAGGAAGGGTTCACAACCCCTCCCCTTATGTAAACTCACGTGTTACATCACAGGGGAAGAGATCGACCATTGTTTTCTATGAAAAAAAAACAAAAACCCCAAAAACAAAAACATCATAGTGTCACTGCGTGACAGGCACAGATCAGTCCACGCTGTTCAGCTTGACTTGAGAGCTCGGTTGTCGCGCATCCTCTCACTGTTAAAGCATGATCCCTCCAGGCACAAGCTGTTATTTGGCATGATGGGTTTTTTTTCCCCCTTTTTTTCACAAGCTTACGAGAAACATCCTGCGTGGATGGCAGCAAGCGGAAATGAATGGAGTGCGCGTGTTTCAGGGGAATTTTGGTGGCAATGAAGAAAGGTGTCTGATTCACACCTGTGTTGAATATTCATGAATTGTTTTTTTGTTTGTTTTGTTTTTGTTTTATTTTATTTATGGGGGTGGGAGGTCTTGGGTTCTTAGGGGTTAAAAAGGCCAGTTAGCTGCAGACAGTAAGGCAGTCAGCTTTTTGACAACTAGATGACAGAACGTCGATCAGAAGGTCAAAGCGCCAACCCCTCTCTTCATTAATAAGGTTAACACGCTGCATCTCTTCCCGGTCGGGTGATCAGCTGACTGGAGGACTGGTGGTGGCCACCTTTTGTGGTAGGTCGTGCAGCTCGCCCAGGGGAGGAGAAGGGGGAGGAGTAGGAGGAGGTGTTGATGGTGGTGCAGTAGAAGCAGCAACAGCGGGAGGGAGGAGGACTGTATCCAACGCTCCCGGGGAGAGAACGGAGCGCAGGAATGGGCTGACTGACCGGGGATCCGCCGTTTGCTTTCGTTGTCTTCAGTGATGGATGAGCCGAATATCCTGAGACGCCGCGGTCTACAGGTAAACGGAGGCTGGCTGTCATGACAGCGCGCGGTTGTGGTTGTTTCTAGGGAAACGAGATTAGCTCAAAGTGATGAGCCATTTGCCGACGATGCAAGGCATTGATGTCAGCGTGGCTTATGTGGCGTGAGCTTATTTTTCATTAAAAAACAAAACAAAACTTTCACCGTTGCTCTTTAGATCTGTGCTTTATTGATTAGATTATGTGGCATCGTTAGAAAATATCATGTGCACTGAGCATCTTCCCCATGCCCTGTGGGCATCCTTTCAGAAAAGGTGGAGTCCCACGAACCGCAGCAACGGGGACACATAATACATTTTATGAATGTAAGGTGTGTATATCAGACCTGACCTCACTACTACTTAGCTATGTGTTTATTTTGGAGCTCTTTCTGTGTGCTTTGGACAATCTGGTTGCCTTGGTGATCTGGAGCACAAAAGCCAATGGTTCCTGGAAGACTGTCAGAAACGTCTTCTCCTGGGTGCCATGTTCATTTGAGATGTTCACAGTCAGAATAATTAAGTGTTTGTTTTTGCTCCATTAATGTCTGTATTTTCTGAATTCATTTAGTAGGCAAAGCTGCATTGTTTCCACCCAGGGTCTGTTGAGGCGGTAACACTGATCATCAGTCCAAACTGGGTGTTCCCATTCCCTTGTCTCTGTTTATAGTAACTAGCCTTTTCCCACGTTGCATTCATTGAATTTCGATGAAGTGGAGCGATGCAGTTACAATGAAAATAATGGTCATGGTGGAAATGCTGTTTCAGTGCACAGTTCTCCCTTTTTTTAAAACCATCTTTATAGTCACTTTCTCAATTTTCAGACGACTGGAGGTAATGAAACAAGTGCAGGTAGTCTCAAATTCTGTGCACAGACTCTCGCAGTGTGACACGGTGCCACCCTGTCCTTCAAATCCTGACTGGCAAGAGCAGTTTTACAGTCCTCTTAGCTGAAACTCACGGACCGAGGATTTGCAATTAAATGGCTACAAGGCCCACTTGTCATCGCCAGAAACTAGGCCATTCAGCAGCTAATGATATTTACATAGTGCCGATGAAAAAATAAATAGGAGTGACAGAGAACAAGGCCACCAGGAAAAACTGCAGCGTTATTATTAGCACCTTGTGACTGTAAGCATGAAATGTACTTAATAGCAGTGTATTTAAAATGATAGGTGTCCTCCTTGACAGCAAAAGAAGACCTTTAAGATGTTGATGCCAATGATTTCAGAGCAAAGGTGGAAGATGTCCCCACCACCACCATCACATTTTTCTTAATTCAACCTTTCCGTCTTCTCTTATAGAAAGAACTGAGTCTTCCTCGTAGGGGAAATCTGTAAGTATGTCATCTGGGCAATTCTGTGCATCTTTCCATCTTTGTCCCCCTTTGCACCTTTTTTGTACCTCAAACCAGGCCAGTCAGTTGTCTGTCACATGTGGGCTTTATTGTGCATGCATGCTGCTTTTCCTGACGGTAAACATTTACTTCTTCACATCCTGAAGTGCAGGAACTTCTTAAAGCACCTAAGAAATTTGGCTGAAAGATAGAGCAGGCTCACTGCCCAAGACTGGTTTTATGTAAATGTTAGGAGGGGGAAAACAGAGGAAGAGAGTGGGAGACATTGTAGGTCTCAGTGTGAGAGAATCAATTAAGCCGCTTCTTCTTTTACTGAAAGAATCCAGGCTTTGAATCTGCTTTTGTATTTGATGCTAGAGTTGATTTAACATCCGAGTGCCTATATCATTGTATATCATTAGCTGAACTGAGCGAGCAAGCTGAGCAAGATCTAACAGGTAACTGCTTAGTTGTGACTGTTTATTTATTTTTTTTGCCAAATGTTTGACCTGCACAAAATTCCTACGTTATTAGATCATTGTTACAGCTCATTTCACACATTAGGAGTAGAACAGCAGTGATACATTGGAGTGCATGAAGAAAGTTACCTGAGAATTTGTTGCCAAACAGAAGCCATTCTGATTAAAAATAAATAAATAAATACATGTGACTCCAACTTGTCCAGGGACTTTCCCTGGAATGGGCTAGAGCTGAAGCCAAGATAGTTTCAATAGCTGGGAATAAAAGGAAATATCAGAATCACTGAATAATATGTATTCATCTCAGCTGACAGTTTCAAAGATATTTAGGAGCTAGATATATTTGTGTTGCTTACCTACACTTGTCCCACTGCCAGTATAGTGTTGTGAGACAAAGATATGTTTGTGCAATAAAATCCTTTGTATCCCATTGTCTCTGATGTCTGTTGGCCAAGTCAGGTGATTTCATTAAGGCTTTTCTGTCTTCTAATATACATCTATATGTATATATTGCTGTATTAACCTTATACAGGACAAAGATGAGCACCATATAAGTCCTGACATGGGGCAGTGTGTGTGTGTGTGTGTGTGTGTGTGTATAAAGAAGTTAATTTAATATATTTATCATAGTTAATACCTGTATTTTAAAACGTAAGAAAAAAGACTTAAACTCTCCGAACCATTGTTTTATATAGGCTTTGAAATCAATAAATTGCGAGGGTCCCTATAATCTCTATTGAAAAAATGATACCTTCAAGAATATCGGACGCTCTGGAAATAGTCTTTCTAAATTTGATATAACTTCTTGTCAAATGTTATATTTATTGTTTCTATTAAAAAAATAAAAGAGAAGAATTAAAAAGAACAGAAAAAAGATTTATCGTTGAAAACGCGTAATTCCTTAGATTTTTGTACCGGATGGATTACTTGTGTCATAGCGTTTTAAACCAGTATTTCCGACAGGACTTGAAAGCATCAGAAATCCCTCCTCCTGCTGGCGCGCGGCGATGCGGCTGCGCGTTGCGGCAGAGACGTTGCTGTGGTTGAAAGTTTCTGTCCCCAGAATAACGCTTCACATTTTGTCGAAGCTAGTTATCGGTCGATAATGTTGCACTTCATGGGAGACAGGCTGTCTCGGAAATTTTACTGGTGACATTGAAAAGGAGCAGCGTGACCATGGCCGTCGCAGTTGCTAGCACCACCGAGCTGCCCTGCCCGGGGTCTGGGGTCAGTCTGTATCGAAGAAGCAGAAAGGAGTTTGTGCCTTTGGAGTCGACGTACTAGCCTAACGGCGACTATAATACCAAATCGACAGGGGAGACTGTTTACCGCGATGCCCCCTCTTTAACGACAGGATACTAATTCTCATATCGGATCGGATTTAGCGGTCACCTCCAACATGTCTGATCAAAACTACTACTGGACCGTGCTGCCGAGCTACAAAACTAGTTTTGTGACCGGGGCCATGATGAAAAGATCGAAAAGGTAACAAAACCTAAAGCCTGTTTCTAACTAGAAAATTATCATTGAAAATGGAGACGAATGTGAATTAGCCTCGACCAAACTGCTGCAAAACGTCTGGGGGGTTGTATGTTTGTCATCGGCTGTGCCGTTCAGTCTCTGAGAAACAGCAATTTGTTGAACGTCGTAATTTCGAGCTATTTGATTCAAGGCGCTTTATGGCAACCTCCACACTGTCTGCTAATATAGCCGCTTCACAGCTCAGACATCTGATCCCTCCGGAGGGTCTGTGATAGCCCCTCAGCATGGCACTGTATGTGTCGGTTACATCCGCCCTAGTTTTTGTTTCCGACAGAGAAACGTGGCCATTGTAGACTGCTGTGTGTATGTGTGCGGGCAGGCTGCATTGTCTGCTGCCAGCTGTCGCATAAAGCGACACCAGGCCCACTGCTGATCGGTGCACTGATGCGGTTAGTGGGACAGTAGTGTTGTAAACGTGCTTTCATCAATCAGATAAATCCAGTCAGCTCTTAAGGTGTCTTAGCCCTTAATTCACTCAATATGTCTTTGGCAGTCAGTGAGTTCATAGTGATCTTAAATTGTCGCGTCTCTACCTCTCACCTCTTTGTCATAATCTGAACACATAATTGTTGGTTTGCTGGCACAATTTGCCTTTGTTACAGTGGTGTAAACCGCAAGAGCTGCAGTTTATATTGCAGGATTTTAAAATGTAAATGTACTGCTATTGAGTGAAGCTTCAGAAGAAGAAGCCATTAGCACGCTGGAACATAGGCTATCTGTGGAATGTCAAACTATCCACTCTTTCCATGTAGTTGGGGGGTCATGCATCCATCAGTGATGTGGCCGATCCACCACAGTGTGAGCTGATGAAATTGGCTTCAGTTAACAAATGCAGCAGACATAGTTAACAAGCAGGCCTGTTTCAGTGGCCTACATTTATCATGCTTTATGTCTTCCTGCAAGATCTATACAAACCATTATTGTTAGTCCCAAATATCAGTCGTCTTATGACTGCTAGCAGTTGATGAAGCGCTCACGTGGTGTGCCAGTGTGATACAGTGGTGCTCTCATATCTTTTTCGGCACAGGTTCTGGAGTGTTTTTGCTTATATTTATTTTTTTTAACAAGAGCAAAATAGCGAACCTTCACAGTGTTTCTGTGGTTGGAGGTGTACTGTAGACACTTTGAAGCCCAACTCTTGGCACACGTTGACCCTCTCATCCCTCTGTTTCTGTGACACTTTGAGTCTTTTTGGGTTGAGGGGCCATATAGTTTGTGAATCTGCCTTTGCACCGACCCAGAAATGTCAGGCTTTGTTGTCGTCTCAGCCCCTCAATTATTTTAGGTCACTGCCAGAAGGAAAGAGAGACAGGATCTACTTCACCGACATGAAACAGAAAGCATTGAGATCACAAACGGGGGTGGGGGGGAAACAAAGAAAACTGAAAAGAAGCCAAAACTGTAATCTTAATGAAAACATGGAGTTAACACCTGCGTGCAGAAACCTGCAGGCACCAAATACAAACGTACAGGAAATGGACAAGATAACACTGGTACTCTAAAGTAATGTCATACTTGGACTGGTAAGCCAAAAAGGCATTAGGTTGTTTGCTTTGCTCCAAAAGCTGCATCAAAAGAGTGTTTTAAACTCTACAAATATATGCAAATTAGAAGAAAACCAACCCAATGAGCAGGAACACTGTTTGTAAATTGAAACCAAAAAAACCAATCAGGACAAACAACACAGACCAGCTTCAAAAATACCAGCAGAAGTGAAACAACACTTCACAGCTCACAAAGACCGAAGTACAAACATGTGGACGGTGTGTCATGGCCTGCTCAATTATATCAGGGGTCACTTGGACCATTTTATTTATTTCCATCATGATAAAACAGCTTTCCAAAGTTCTTATTGTCTAATCAGCCTCTGCCAGTGGTACTGATAAGTGATATATTTCCCTTATCTCACATGACAATACTCTCAGACGTCATTGGATCGTACTACACTGCTCAATCCAGACTTCACATTATTTACTGATTAGAAGTGGTTAAAAGAAAAAGAAAAAGAAAAGTTTACTTGCTCTAATTTTTAGAGGAGTTAATGTGTAGTTAGCGCTGATGCATAAGAAAGAAGTTGCACTCAAGTTGGTTTGTTTATATATTTACATGCAAACATGTTTGTAGTCATGCATGCATGTGTATGTTTGTATATATATATATATACATAATTACAGTGGCATTACTATTGTCAGCACATCAAAAAAAATATGAATTCAGAGGCTGATCGAGTTTGATTTTTTTTTTTTGTCCACAGATAAGATTGATAAACAAAGTGTGCTTGGATCATGTTTGTTACAACACTGCATAAAACAGATGTTCACTCTCTTCTGTTTGCTGCTTTCCACTCACAGTTCCCGTAACAACAAGAGAAGGAGTTTGGCGGTCGGGACCCCATCGCCCACGCTGTCACGACCGCTTTCACCTCTCCCACTCGCCACAGGTACTTGTGTTTCGGTTTTACCCGTTTGTCTGCTCGCCTCAGTGCAGGGTTGATTGGATTGGCTCATCAAAATTCCTGCATTTAGCCACCGCTGATTGCGTGTGAAGCAGAGAAGTTACAGAGGGTGGAATGTTGAGGAGAACACAGGATTGGCTGTCTCATGTAGGATCATCAGTCTTAAGTTTGTTTTGATGCTGTATGTCGTGAAGCAATCGCTAGTTTACCTCAGGTGCTTTGTTTTATTTCCTTCTTTCTCATAATGTGCCCACAGTAGAGTGCAAAAGCCATACAATGCTTTTCCTTGTGATAATTTTTAATGTAGCCCCCTCTAGACTTCCTCATCATTTGATCTCTCCACTTAAAAAGTGTCATTCTGTGTATCCCCCTTTTTAGTGACTTGTCCTCAGGGACAGTGGAAGTCCTTTAATGACCTTTTTAGCAGTATGCAATATGGTGTGATTGTACCACATACCCCCTGCTGTCTGTTGACACAATCCTTCTTTGATTAGGACAGGACAGGAAGGGCCCTAGGTAACTTTGTGTGTATGCATCACTGTCATTAAAAGATTTGATTGTTTCAGTTTGAACTTGTAAAGGAAAACCATCTGCAAAGTTGACCGTTGCACACTGATTGTGTAAAACATTAGGAAGCCAGTCCAGTTATTCTGCATTTAGTAATATGCTTAGTTTCCTTCAGCTTCCTCTCAATTTTCAAAAATTTTGTTTTGTTTTGTTTCCTCAGCTGGTAGCAGTCCTTCAGAAAGCCCCAGAAATGTCTCTGCTAGCTCTTCTGCCAATTTCCAGTTTGCCCGCAGGTAAGAATTAAATGAAATGCTTTTTAATATAGTCTTGGTTTAAACCACTCAGGCTCAGGCACATTATTGCAGTAGTTTCTTTTCCGTAATAACATCAAGTGGAAAATGACTAAAACAGACATATTGCAATGAAAAGTACTTTAATGGAGTGAAATGGCAGCAAATTAGATTAAAAAAATGAGATATGTAGTCAGTGGAAGTTTATTTTTATTCTTGGCCCGCTTTGACTAAAAATGAAATCAGAAAAAATAACCAAGGGATCTTTGGTTCGGTGGAAACTGTGTGCACGCAATCTGAACATGCACTGGCTTGTTCCCTTTGCCCCTCAAATCGAGGCAGTGGAGAACCATGTCTGACCAGCTGAAAGCCCCCAGGGTCACTCACTTACTGGACGTGGGTCTTGGCATTTGTCAACCCAATTAAGGAGGCGAGTTGGTGCGCGCACTCATTACTCAGGGCTGCTGTGATTATGGAAGAAAACTGCAGAGCTTGCCTTCTCATCACGCGTGCCGTTTATAGACTCGCTGGGATTTAGAGGAACATTAGCTGCAACCAGCTTCCTCAGTCAGCAGCGGAAAATAGTGTGGTAGCCTGTCTCTAAGAAGACTTTAGTAAGGAACAGCAACATGTATACTCGAATGTAGGATTTTCAAGAACACTGTAGTTTAAATTTATGTGATGACCGACTGTCCCAAATGTCATGAGTTAAGCTGCAGTGCAGTATGCCATATTGCACCATAGAGCTCAGGGATGCAGAGGGGAAGTCTTCTTAGAGGACTGCCTTGTGCAGCTCATCTAAATTTATTGACATTTTTAAGCTGCCAGAGTGTAGACAGATGCTGTGACTGCACTTTTGACAGCTCCACTGGGTTTATTTGTTATTCACAAAAGCTTCGTAGCTCTGCTTTTGGTGCAGTTATTTTTTCATGTGAACGTGGAGTAGCCTTGAAGAGTAAGGACGACCAGTGCTCTGGTCCATTCTGATTTATTTATTTTGTTCCTTTCACAACTAAGCCATTGATTCCAGTATTGATTTGAAACCTTTGCCTTTATTAGTGGCTTCTTACAGCAACATGATACAACATGTTTTGGCACATGTTGTACATATCAGATAGGGATAGATAAGAAACCATACATGTAACACAGCTCACTAACCCTCAGATCCCTTCATTTTCACTGTCACCTCTAATTTAGCTACATGTCCCCAAGAGCTGGTTTCTCAGAGAAACTGCATTTGACCATCTTTTGTTGCCACAGATTGACTCCGTGAAGGAAACTGGGCCACTTCCTCAGAGTGTATTGGATGGAAAACTATTGGGACAGTGGCGATTTATTTATTTATTTGGTAGAGAAAGGTTCAGGTTTTCTGCAGTGTTAATGAGTGCATTGTGTGTCTGTGTGCATAGTGAGAAACTGTCTGTAGGCCTCAATGCTGCAGTATGATAGCAGCTTGGCAGGTGTTCAGAAACAGCAAACAGCCACTGGCGGGGAGTTCTGTCAGACTAACAGGACTGTGACTTTGACAGGCAGACTTAATCTGTCACTGTCATTAAACAGTGTTTATTTTCTCTCTCACTTCATGCCTCCATTCGCCCCTTCTTTCTATCTGCATCTCTCGCCTCCATTCCCTTTTTTTTTTTTGCATCTGTGTAGTCAACTGGCCCGGACTGAAAGGTAAGAAAATAACTAATTGCTGTTTCTTCTTCTTGCAAAGACTCAAACATCAAATGTTGTCTGTTGGCCTTTTTAGGCTTTGACTATTGGAATGAGTCAACAGGATGTAAAGGTTTTCATATGAGTCTCCACTGAGCAGCTTGTTATTTGTGTGTGTGTTTTTTAGCAGGGCAGATGGGCGAAGGTGGTCGGTGGCATCTGTTCCCTCCTCTGGATACTGCACAAACGCACCAAGTTCATCAGTATCTGTAAGCGGAGAAGTATCTCTTACTGTCTGTCACCTCTTTCCATCATCACACATTCAACCTCTCTCTAAACCACTACCTTGGGGGCATTTAGTGTCCACTTTACAGCACTGTGGTGTCTTGCAAACTTCCGATGCTGACTAAATGAGCTGTAAAGCCCATGAGCTTACGAAGTGTCATAAATCTGCCTATAAATGATTGTTGATTTTACAGAAGACCAGGGATGTCAAACTCATTTTACATCGTGACCTACATACACATCTAAAGCTGGCTGGACCAGTGAAACTCCCCATTCTGCTAATATGGGAAGTTAAAGTTGGGAAGTTGACCTACATATTTAATCTGAATATAAAAAAAGGGGCGATTTCAACTGTATGTCTCTTTTTCTACATGATAACGAAATGCTAGTACACAAAAGAAATGTGGTGGGATGACTCTTGGACCTAAATTGAAACTACTATTAATTTTATGTATAGTCTAAAATTACAGCGAAAAAACTGTCCAGGCTATCCTGTGATTATAAAACAAAGATTTTATCAATTCACAAAAAATGTGGACCCATTGTTGAAAAAAAGAAAAAAGAAATCTCTGTAGTAAATGGTGGAAAAACAAACAAAACAGGAAAATATCTGACATGTACTTGTTTGTCTGTTACTTAATTACCTTGTAGAACACCACCAAAAATTGTAGATGTTATGAAAAAGAATGGCCAACACTGTAAACATAGACTCTGTGCACACATGCTCTATTGTCGACATGGCAGAAGTCTTCGAAAAATAATTTACATTAATAAAAAAAAAAGTGTATGAATAACAAAATTTGCGCAATTGCCAAAACGTTTGGCTAGGTCTGTAAAGATTTGCTCATCACTCTGTAGCTGACAGCTGGTCGCTGGACACTGCAGGCTTTGGTTATGAAGATAACGTTCTCTCCTTTTGCGTCAGTGTCCTCTCTCCCACTGAATGGCACTTCAATAGTGTGTTTCAGAGTTGAGTAGTTTAAGTCTGTGGGACAGTCTGCTAACTTTCCTACTTTTGTCTTCTCCCTTATTAGCAAGGCGTTGCCACACAGCAGGTATCTCGCATGTTTGATTGGAGTTTTTATCCTGAGGCAACCCCACAGGGAATTTTTCACAGATCTTTCACGTGAAAAGCAAAAAGATCTGTTCCACTGAACCAATCTTACCACTGCTACCTGTAATTTTTACCTTTTTTAAAATTGGTATTTTGTAGTTACTGGTCACCAAACCAGTCCTAGTGTCTCGTGAACACCACTTGAAAGCAGTAATTAGCCAAAAATATGAATTTTAATAGAATTGGCTTGTGTTATTTATTGGTTAGTTTTAGCCTGTTGCACATACCGTACAAGGAAGGAATACTAGAACAAAGCTTCCAGAGTGGTTGTGAGATATTTTAGAAGTAGCATCAGCATTACATAGCTCGTCAGAGTTACTTCACTGTATCTTGTTCATAGAAAAGGAATGCTTACTGTGTTTTAGCATTTAAAAAAAATAAAAAAAATCTTACTGACTCACAGTTTAGAACTTGAACTTCACTTTAAACTTACCGGGTCACTCGGCATAAACAGTATTAGAGAAAAGTTTTGTGGTTTTAGTCTTTGGTTGTTTTGGTTTTTTTGCCATTTCCTCTGTGACAGGTTGTCTTTCTCAGATTGAGTTGCAGTCGACATAAATCCAGACTAACTGCAACCTCCTTGGCAAGGAAGCAGACTGCCAACTTTTTACAACTAGCTTTTAAGTCTACGGGGGGTTTGGATGATTGTTTTCGTTACATCTGCAGAGCATTATTGTCGCTTTAGCGTTATTATCGCTACAAATTTATGTGACATTTTTGATTATAATTAGTTTTACTGATACAGTAAAGTGGTTGGAAAACTTCACACTGACAGCTTTGGGCACCGGTTGGTTTATAAAGCAGCTGTCTGGAGATGGATGCTGGTATCCTTTTTAATGACTCAGGCAGCCATAACAGGATACGTCCAAGGATGATGAATCCCTCCATCATCGACCATGTGTCATATTTTCCACCTTGGAGAGGATATGAGAATTAGTCCTCAGATGCCTTTTCCCCCAAGTTTTCCTAGAATTATTGAAACAGTATTAAATGTGGTAAAAAGTACATTTTGTTGTCATTGTTTTGTTTTTTTTTAAGTCAAAAGGCATAAAAGTTTTCTCATAATAGTATATTTCTCTACCTCCTATTCTACAACAACAACAAAAAAAAAACTTGGGGAAAGGGGAAACCAAAACACAGGAGGTTGTGTGAATTATTTACCATGTGTCCATCATTAAACGAATGACATCACACCGAGACGAACTGAGTTGATCTGAGCGTGTCCTCTTTTGACTGAGGGGAAAGTACGGGAATAATAAAGCTTATCATTACAATAATACCGGTCCTGTTGAAGTTTGCCGTGTCTTTTTCCTGGATGACATCACAAACGAGCAGGGGCTGTACCACATCATTTCCCTACTCAGCTTTTCCTTTCAGGAATACCGCAAGCACACTTTGTGCTGCTCAGCTATACCCGTCAGCTGTTTGCCGATGTCTTCTATGGTGATTATTAGGATTTTATCTCGAAAGCCATCGCTGAACCTGCAGTTGGCTCAAATGGAAAACAATACCCAGCTCCTGCGTCTCTGCTGAAATTCTGTATGGCCAACCACATGGCTTTGAGACGGTGAAGTCAGCCCTCCCTGTACAATGCCCCTTTCAGCCCTGCTGTCAGTGAGGTCTTTATGCAGCTCTTAGTCGATTCTGACAAGTCTCTAGTTTCCTGCTCAGCGTAGCCCCTTCACCCCCACCCCCACCTTCCTATCACTGCTCTGTCACGTCCTTGCTCTGTTGCTTTCTTTTCTTTCTTTTTTTTCCCTTTTAGTGTCTCTCACTGTCTCGCTCTGCTTTTCTTTCTCGTTGGCTCTTCTGTTTTTCCTCTGGTCAATGAGCCACTCTTCTCTCTGCTCTTCCTGGGATACACAAGATCCTAGCCAAATGGGAGTTCTCATAAATTCCAGGCAGTGTGTCACACATCCTGACTTGGAAAGGGAAAAAAACAAAGCAAAACATTCACACATGCTGCCTGTCTCCATGTGTGCTGCGTGAAAAGGGCGAAATCCTACTGAAAAATGCTTTGGGGAATCTATAAAGTTCACTGAGTCTTTCTTTTCATGTAGGAAGGGATTCATGATGTTTTTTACATCACAAATCAATTCTCTGCATGTCCATATAAGATGGTGCATCTAATTAAGATCTGCAGTGGAACATGAAAGTCTTTAAGACTTCGGTATTAACAGGATAAAGAGTGAGTCAGAGAGAGCAGACGTGTGAGTCTTACCAGAGGAAGCCTTTTAACACAGGATGTTATATAATCAAAGCACAGCCCCGCCTACGTATGAATATTTAAATAAAAATAGATAAGAGTGGTAGTGGCAGTGGTTGATTGCTTGTTTTGTTTTTTATTTTGTTAATTTAAAAAAGAATCAATAAATGCAACTTAACCATTGACCCTACTTCCCTGTTTTTTTTTTTTGTTTGTTTGTTTTTTTTCTCTTCTCCACTTTTCCCTCCCAGTCCTCTTCTTCACAGGAGTTGTTGCACCAGTTGCCCTTTCAGCCCACGCAAGAGGATCTTCACTTCCTCTTCAAACATTTTCCGAGCCCAGAAAGTGTGGCAGATGAAGAAGGAGCCCACCCCATGCCCCCTGTCAGGGTCCGCTCACGCAGTCTCAGGTAACTTTCCTATACTATATGCTGATGCAGCATATAGACTGTCTCTGTTACACAAACATTTCTGTCATACTTCACTGGGCCGTTTGTTTTGAAAGGGTGGAACCGAAATCCCCCCAACTGGCTTCAGTCTCGTAGATTTAATTATGTGCTGCAGTAGCAGTTGTATACAGCAGCTCACCACACACACCACTTAAGCACAAAGATAAAACTGTTGTGCTATTAAAGACTTATTATACTAACTGTACATTCTATATACCCTTACATATCAATTCATTAGATACACCTTAATAGTACTTCATTGGGGCCTCTTCGCCTTCACAACTGCCTTAAAATTTTCATGGTTTAGTGTCAACAAGGTGCTGGAAACATTGCTCAGAGAATTTGGTCCATATTGGCATGACAGCATCACTCCGTTGCTGCAAAATTGTCTGCTGTGCGTCCATGATACAAAGCTCCATTGGGTTGAGATTAGGGATGGGTACCGTTAATGGCACTGGTTCTGACATAAACAGTAGTAAACAGACCGAAAAGCAGCGCACATTTCGGTGCTTTATTTCGGTGCTTTATTTCGGTGCTTTTTTTTTCTTTTTCTTTTTTTCTGAGATGTCATACACTTTGGATTCTAGCCAATCATTTGACCTTTCCAAGGATAGTAGGCGGGCAAGTGGTACGTACGTTCTTTTAGAGCAGAGCTACAGATTAAAAATGCCCAAGGCAAAACGGTCAAAAGTTTGGCTGTACTTCACAGCAAAAGATGCAAACTCAGCAGCCTGCAACAAGTGCTTTAAGGTGATAATGTGCAAAGGAGGTAACACTTCGAATCTGATGAAACACCTGGCGATGCATAGCATTTTTTCAAAGCCGAGAAATGCACCGTATTTGATAGCTTGCTGCAAGACCTCACACCAAGCACATCTACTGCAGGTGTGGTAAATCTCCATTAGCAAGTTAGCGGGGATCGCCCTGTGCGTGGGGCTGGGCAGTGCTTATCATTTTGCAGAAAAAAAAGAGACTGCTAAAAATAAAAACATAAGAGGTTTTTGGACAACGTTTGTGTTCTCTATTCTTTAAGCACCGGTTTGAGCACCATTTAAGCATCGGCACCGTTTCAAAAGTACCGATTTGGCACCGGTATCGGATAAAACCTAAACAATACCCATCCCTAGTTGAGATTTGGTGATTATGGAGGCCATTTGACTACAGCGAGCTCTTTATCATGTTCGCACCAGAAATCAAAACTCATCAGACCAGGCATCATTTTTCATCGGCTGATGTTGAGTTTATTTGAATTGTAGCTTTAGTTTCCTGATCTTAGTTGAAAAGAGCGCCACTTGTTGTGGTCTTGTGCTGCTAAATTGTAGTTTCAAATCAAGGTTCCTCTTCAATGGTGTGATCATATGTGCCATATTTAAACTGACTGTGCTCTAAATTTTCCCTTTGAAAAAAAAAAAAAAAAAAAGTATGTTTTTTTTGTTTTGGTTTTTTTTTAAAATATGCACATTTTCTCACAACAGAAAGAGAAGATCTGTAAACGGGGTATAAAATGAAAACCTCAAACTTGTAACTAGCGTGGCTAACATGCTACCCGTTCCTGCTGCTTTACTACATACTCACCAAATAATCAAAGCTTATAGTAAATAAAAATAACTTTACCTGTTAAACAGTTAAACAGCAAATGTGAGATAGACTGTGCTAAGGTTTAAGCTCACGAAGCTTGCCACCTTAAGTAGTTGTAGTTGCTCTTTTTAGAACATTGTAAAGTTGTATGTGAAGGAGCACTTCCCTGTTTGGTGAGGCTGCCACTCCACCCCAGTCTAACAAAAGTAGGCTTAATGGTTTTTCAGGAGATATTTCGCACATGATTATAAAAAGATAAATTAAATACTGTCTGGAAAGAATATGTTGGGATAATTATTTAATGTGGCTCTGGAAAAACCCTCTGTGCCATTTGTGCGTGATCCCCTGGATTAGAATAAAACCTTTTCCTCATCATTTGGCATTGCTGGACTCATCCCTCTGAATAGCTGCAATGGCAGGCTGTTTTGAGGTTGCTGTAGAGTTTTTATGACAGGCTGGGGAGGATTTTGGCAGCCTGTTGATGTGGTTGCTTTTTTGGTGACGTGTCCATGCCTGTGCCACATGCAGTAATTCGCACTGCATGTGTACACTAATACTCTATAAGTACATCTGGGTAACTCTAGCAATTACACCGGAGAGAAACCTCCCCCTTGGGTTTTACCTGACCTTTGCATAGTTGTTAATGATGCATCTAAATCAACAGCAGTTGATTGACATGTGTCGCCGTTGTTCTAAATTTGCTCTACAAGTTGTGTAAAAGGATTTCTTGCAGCCTCAAAATAGTTCCGAGTGGTCTAAGCAGTTGCCATTACCCTGAAATAAATTCATACCGCGTGTGCAACTGTTGTGGTTACCCAGAACGAGTTAAGTTCATGTCGCATATTGACATTATTGTCATTTTTAGTATGCAACGTAGTGTAAGGGAGCACCCAGGACTGTTATTTTTAACATTTGTGCTGACAGTACATTGATTTGGAACGTGTAAGGAGGGTTTAAAAAGACCTCTGCGTGTAACCGAAACCCTCTGGGTGCAACACGTGTGGTCGTGGATGGTGCACATGAGAGCCTGATCTGAATTGTGTCAAACACGCTGTTTGTATGACCTAGAATGTTAGTCAACACTTTAATTGTTAATGTAGTCATAAAATGTTATAGCTTGTTGTGTGTATGGCTGTTCAGTAAAGATATAAATGTTGATTTCATCAGTTTAGTTTGCCACTTAGTTCAGTTGTTTTTCATTTTATTTTAGTTTGGTCTCCATTATTTGTTAATGGCATTTGTTCAAAAAAAAAAATATCGACATTTGTAATATTTTTATCTGTTTTTTGTTTTTTTTCCTCCTTTGTCTTCTTTCTGTGAAGCCCTGGACGGACCTGTGGGGTGTTTGACAATGAGATTGTCATGATGAATCACGTCTATAAAGAACGTTTTCCTAAGGTAGCTCCCTTTCTTTGTGAAAGTCTCATAATCAAAGTTAAAATCTTCAACTGCTCACTAAATGGGTTAGAAATGTATGCAGTACTGGTTTAAACGAAGGCTTTCATTTTTGTTTCCCAGGCGACGGCCCAGATGGAGGGTCGGCTGCTCGACATCATTGCAGAGTGTTCCCCAGACACCGCTCTGCCCCTGGCTGATGGTGTGCTTGGATTCATTCAGCACCAGCTGGTGGAGCTCGCCAGAGACTGTCTGGACAAGTCACAGAATGGCCTGGTGACCTCCAGGTACTTCATGGAGCTGCAGGAGAAATTGGAGAAGCTGTTGCATGAGGTGGGTGTCTCTCATCTTTAGTAAATGATTTTTCATCTTTTTCATACAGAGAATTTTTTTCTCTGCTTTTCTTTTTCAAACAGTCAGGGAGTGTTGGTTCTTTCTAAGATGTTTCTAGCTGGTGTTATTGTTGGTAGCTCAGATTGCCCTCTGGGACATTGCATGCTGTACTATAGCAGCACTGAGGACACTGAACATTGAAATGAAAAGGCTCATTTCCTCTGTTAATATTCTGCTGATTCCACTCCATCAGTCAATAATGTTCTGTCATTTTGTGTTATTACATAGGGGTGTGCAGTGGTCAAGTGTTCAGTTGTGTAATGATTGTGTATTCTACAGCAAAACAGTGGTTTAAATTATTATTTTTGTCATATAATAATTTCTTTAATTAGTATATTCTTTATGGCCACGGAAATTGTTTTGACCCTTCTCCACATGCTAAAATGCATATGTTGAGTTGCTTGCTAGTGTTGCTTTTTCATAAAGGTGTTTACAATTTTTTAGTGGATTTTTCTATGTTTAGCAGGGCAAGAGTTTGTTTTAAACTGACTGCTGACTAATCGCTCCTCTGACTGTTTCACCACCTCTATCATACACTTTCTGAACCTGCTGTTTGATCAAGGCGCTGTTGGATTTAGATAAGCAAGAATGAGTGTTAAAAAGTCAAATGTTTTTCCATTATTTATAAGCCTGACAGAGCATGCAGTGAGTATTGATTCAACATGTTGAAATACCAGCCCTTGAGCCCTTGAATCACCACCAGACAATGTAAGGGGATGAAATGGATGCTAAAAATATCACCCGACAAGTGCAGACAGCTTCTTTGGATGAGTTGTGGTGGCTCATGGCTTGTGTCAAATGGGTTAGGTCACTATAATAATCCATCACTATTTGTTCTGTTTAGGCGTATGAGCGCTCAGAGAGCGAGGAGGTGACCATCATCACCAAACTGGTCAAGAAGATTCTCATCATCATCTCCAGGCCTGCCAGGCTGTTGGAGTGTCTGGTAAGACTCAATGACAGACGCAGTAATAATCACAGGTTTACGAGTGACGTAATAACACTATGTCCATCAGCTTAGATGCATGTGTGAAAGTTGACTCATACATGATGTTGACATCTTGTAGTAGCGATTAGTTTGTGCTGTAATTATAACCCAGCTTACTGTTTACTAAGCCAAGTTCACCTTGCTAGCCTGGGTCTGTTGTTAGTAAGGTGCCAGTGATGCTCCAATTTTACAGGCCAGAAAAAAAAGCCCAGATTGGAGCAGAAACATTTTTCTGTCATTTTTCAGCATTTTTAATTGTATTACAATGTTTGATCCATCGTTTCCCAATGTAGTAGTTGAAGCTTTTCTACATATTATGTCAACAAAGTAATGTACATTTGAGTGAAACCTGAACTATGCCTTTCCTTTATTTTTTATATTTTTGAATCCAGGAGTTTGATCCAGAGGAGTTTTACCAACGTTTGGAAGCTGCAGAGGGTCAAGCCAAAGTAGGACAAGGCATCAAAACTGATATTCCCAGATACATAATCAGCCAGCTGGGCCTTACGAGAGATCCCCTGGAAGGTGCAGATTTAAAAAAAAAAAAATAAATTATTATTATTTTTTTTTTTATACTTTCTATCTCATTATTGCTTACTTCAGATAAATTTGAAAACCCTAATGCAGTTAGCTTAAATAAATCATTGTGAACTAATCTCGTAAGATACAGTGACAGTTTTGTGATTTTTAACTTGATTCGCACTGGCGTTTAATAAAGTTGGATCTGTTTTGTCTGCTGCCGTTACAGAGATGGTTCATTTGGAGCATACTAGCCCGATTCACAGATCAGCGAGCAGAGAGTCTGATGACACTGGAGAGGCAACATCTGCACAGGTATAAGCTTACATTAAACGGTTACAAAATACATACAGTGAACTCTAAAATGACCCAGGAAGAACAGATGGCGCTCATGTCTCACCTATTTTAAAAATATTCCACATCCTTTAGATTAGATTTATTTGCTTTAAGATTCTCTTACTAGTTTTTAAGTCACCGAGTCGCAACCTTTGTTGATACGGTGTTGATTTTTTAGGTTTTTTTTCCATATCTGTCACACATAAATGATCATCAAAGAAATTTTATTACTAAACACTTCTAAACCTACCTAACCCTGTGTGGAAAAGTAATTGCCCCCTTAAATAACAAATTAACTGATTAACCACATTTTTTTGAAAAACTGAATTTCATTTCATAAGCTACATTCAGGCCTGGTTACGGCCAGACCTGCTGAATCAAAAAATCACTTAAATACAAGCTGTCCATCAAAATGAGACGGGCTAAAAGATCTCAAAAAGTAGCACATCATGTCACGATTTAAAGAAACAGCCGAGGGGAAAAAAAGTCACTGACATCTGCTAGTTTGGAAAGTTTGCCAAAGTGAACCACAGTGTGAGCCATTATCCACAATGGAGAAAACTTGGAACAATGGTGAACGTTCCCAGGAGTGACCTGCATTGAGGACTTATCACAAAAAAACTAGAACATCATCTAAAGACATGCAGTCCTCAGTTGCCTCAGTTAAGGTCAGAGGTTATGATTCAACAATAAGAAAGAGATTCTACCAGAAAATCCTGAAGGAGGATGTCTGGCCATTAGTTCATGGCGTAAACCAAAGATCACCTAGGTTATGTACCAGCACAGTGATTCAAAACACACCAGCTAGTCCACCTCCGAATGGCTCAATAACACCAAAACAAAATAATAAATAGAGCAGATACAAAAGCGCCTTTGCACTTGTAGAGCTTGAACCATAATAAAAGCTCTCGGGTGGCTTAGTTAAAGTTTGGGCTTTAATCAGACTGAGATACTTTGGTATGACCTTTAACAGGCCGTTCATTGGATGGTTCATGCTCAAACCCTCCAATGTGGCTGAAATAAAACAATTCTGCAAAGAAGAGTGGGCCAAAATTCCTCCACAACAATGTGAAAGACTCTTTGCCACTTATAGCAAACACTTGATTGCAGTTCTTGCTGCCAGGGGTGGCACAACCAGTTATTAGGTTTAGTGAGCAAGTGCTTGGTTTTTTGTTTGTTTTTTGTTTTTTGTTTTTGTTTTTTGGGGGGGGGGTTGCCCTTCTTCTTCTTCTTCTTCTTCTTCTTCTTTTTTTCTTTTTTCTTTTTTTTTTTCTTTTTTTTAAATAAATACAGGGCCAGGCAAGTTTGGATAGCTTTTTTTCTTCTCAATGAATGAATGAATTAAATCATAATTAAGAAAATTTGGGTTGTCTTTGTTTAATATTAAAATTTGTTTGATCTGAAACATTGAAGTGTGATGCATATGTGAAAAACCTAAGAAGTTTGGAATAGGCAAATACCTTTCCACAGCACTGGATGTGTTAGCACGTTCCCAAAATCCCAGCCTTCAGCCTTTCACTGTGTGGATTTGGCATACTCTTTGCATCATTCTTGTTGTTGTTGTTTTTTTGTTTTTTAAATCATTTTTCTCTAGCACTTTGTGTTGCATGCATGCATAAAAGATGCTCCAGTTGATAAAGCAGAGCTGAATTGTGTCTGTGACAGGATTAACTGTGGTGGGTGACAAACTTGAAGGCTGTGGCATATGCACCAAAGAAATATTAAATGCCATTTGGCAGAGCATGCAGATTATTCTTGATTCCATGCTATTTAAGTGATGAATGGAGCTCTCGTTAACACGAAAGAAATTCTCCAAAAGTAACACAGCAGCTGTAATTTTTTTCCTCTCCTCCTTTCTCTTTCTCTCTCGTTGGGATTTGCGTGATTCAGAGCCGTGTAGCCTGCACCCCTCCTCGTAGGAAACCACTGGAAAGCGACTTTGAGACTATAAAGCTCATTAGCAACGGCGCCTATGGGTGAGTAAGACAGACTTCTTTGTTTGCGTTTGACTGAGTCAGTCGCACCGAGAACCACAGAGATCTAAATAAAAGTGGAAACTAAAATGTGGATGTGTTTTTGTAGTATTTTTGTGTTCAGGCTGGAATTAGTCAGGACAGTTTCATTTCCAGTCTGAACTGATATTTACCACTATGTGATTCCCACAATTGATTTTCTTTGTATTATCTCCCTGCTTTCTTTGTTGATGATTGCTGATTATTTATTCTGTCTCTCTTTGTGTTGTCATTGCCTCTCCCCTTCCTTTTGCCTCTGTTCTCTCACACAGGGCCGTATTTCTGGTGCGCCACAAAGACACTCGTCAGCGTTTTGCTATGAAGAAGATCTACAGGCAGAATCTGATCCTTAGAAATCAAATCCAACAGGTGTTCGTAGAGCGAGACATCCTCACCTTTGCTGAAAACCCATTTGTGGTTTCCATGTTCTGCTCTTTTGAGACACGGAGGCACCTGTGCATGGTTATGGAATATGTGGAAGGTACAGTTGGCTCAGACTGTAGACATATAGAGACACATGCACACCAAGCTCTTATATATCTACCATACAAGGCACACCTTTAAGTCTAAGTCATCTGACCTGAAAGCGTTTTTCATGGTGGCCTCATTTGTGTTTTTTAAGGTGGAGATTGTGCCAATCTGTTGAAGAATATCGGTGGACCTCTGCCTGTGGACATGGCCAGGATGTATTTTGCTGAGACTGTCTTGGCTTTAGAGTACCTTCACAACTACGGCATTGTACACAGAGACCTCAAACCTGACAAGTGAGTCAGGCAAACGGATGAACAAGGAGAATATTCATATTCCTCCCCCCCCTCCCCCATATTTCTTGTGAACGCCTTAAGGCAGCACTAAATAACTTAAAAGCTTTCATCATTTTTAAACTTGCAGTGATCTGTAGGGAGATGGAATCTTTCTGAAGATAGAGCAGAATATTCTCAAACTTTGAGTCTTTGATATTTTTTTTCTCTAAAGATGAAATTCCAGTGCTTTGAGGGCAAGCATTTGATGTAACATGAAACATTTCTGTGCTTACTTCCTTTGTAGTTTGCTGATCACCTCCATGGGACATATTAAACTGACAGACTTTGGACTTTCAAAGATTGGCCTAATGAACATGACAACTAACTTGTATGAAGGACACATTGAAAAGGATACTAGAGAATTTATTGACAAGCAGGTTTGTCTCTTCTCGCTTGTCTTTTTTTTTCATCTCTGATTTTGAGCTTATCTAAAATCCACCTTTTCTCTTTAACTCTTTTTTTAAAAACCTGTCTACAGGTGTGTGGTACTCCAGAATATATCGCTCCAGAGGTGATCCTGAGGCAGGGCTATGGGAAGCCTGTGGACTGGTGGGCCATGGGGATCATTCTTTATGAGTTCCTAGTGGGCTGTGTGCCTTTCTTTGGAGACACACCAGAGCAGCTCTTTGGTCAAGTGGTTAATGGTAGGATATCTTTCAATTGAACTCATAGTTAGTTATTTTTATACACGTAAATCCAATCCATTTGTCATCCTCTCACTCAAAATTTTGCAATAGATCTCCGTATTTTGGCACATCAGTCCCCTGGGCTTTGTAGATACCTTTAATTCCCTTCGTTGCATTCACTCCTTTGTTCAGATGATATTATCTGGCCGGATGGGGAGGATGCCCTGCCAGCTGATGCTCAGGACCTTATCACCAGACTTTTGAGGCAGAACCCTCTGGAGCGCCTGGGAACAGGTTGGTGACAGCATGATTGCTGATGGATGAAAAACCTTCTCTGGGCCTCAGGACAGTGTGACTCAGAGGTGGCCAGCAAAAGGCAAAAACGTGCTTTTTGTGACAGATGTGTCACTGAGTGTCTTACCAGGAGGTCATAGTCTGCACAAGGCCTCGTGTGGAGGAATTTAATTTTAAGAATTTAAATAAAGTTGGCACAGGAATAAGGAAGGATTTGAGGTCTTCTGTGTGTTTATTTGGCAGATTATTCATTAATAGAATTTTACATTAACCGGGCTTGATAAACTTGTTTCCCATAGAGACAGAGAGGTCGACTAGTTCACAGTAATCAATAAGCTCTCCGGAGCTTTCTGACTTGAATGTTTTAGACTTCAAATTTTCTCTGTTTTGACTTCTTTACACTTTACACTTTGTTTGTGTTTAGGTCGCTGTATGGGTTAGCACCTCTTTACTTTTCAGGCCTTTTAATTATGCACACTTTCAAAAGATCATTAAGGTCAGCTGACCAGATGCTTTTGGTTGTACCGGGAAGCTGGTTAAACCACAGATTAGGCCTTTGCTGTAACTGCAGGTAAACTTTGAAGCAGTCCGTTACACTTAAGTTATTTGAAAACTCATTTTTACTCTTGACATTTAAACCTGACTGAGACTTGACATTTAATGTCTTATTGCATCCTATGTTGCACAGCACTACAGCACTAAGTGCTTGTTTTTAAATTTTCTTATTAATTAACTTGAATTTATAGAAAATAGCAGCAAAAATAGTTTTACAATAAGCATAATGCCAGAGACCAGGAGAATGGAGAATTCAGTTAAGTTTTATTTATATAGCACCAAATCATGGCAACAGATGCCTCAAGGCGCCTCAGTGCAACAAAGAGTCTGGCTGGGGATCAGACAAGCTCAGACTCAACCTCGATGCCCATATTTGAGTTTAGTAATTTCTTTCTCCAGGTGGGGCCACTGAGGTAAAGATGCACAATTTCTTCCTTGGCCTGGACTGGAACGGTCTCCTGAGGCAGAAAGCTGAATTCATCCCACAGCTAGAGAGCGAGGAGGACACCAGCTACTTTGACAGTATGTGGATTTACTGACTGTGGGCCTTTTATGAAGTAGACACACTGCATTGTTAAAAACCTGTGAGGAGACGTTCATTTAGAAATGAGCTCTCAGAAAATGGATGCTTTTATGAGATAAATTTGTAGCAATGCAGCATGGTGGTAGTTTTAATTTGGATAGGAAACTGTTCCCAGTTTGTGATCATTTATTGCATGCCACCATGTTTCCCTCCAGCCCGATCAGAGCGATACTGTCATCTGGGCTCAGATGACGATGAAACAAATGATGATGAATCATCTCTGGAGCTACGACAGTTCTCCTCTGTAGCCCACCGCTTCAGCAAGGTACTCGTTACTATTCATGAGTTATAATCAATATTAATACCTGGTTCATGGAACAAAGCAAGACTTTTTGTTTTGGTGTTGTAATTTGGTTAATGAAATACTTCTGGTTGTTTGTAGGATTAAAAAAAAAATCCCTTCTTCTTTAATCCATGCTACCTTTTTCCTCTTAAACTCCAGGTGTACAGCAGCACAGAGCACCTGTCCACCTCGACTCCATCCAATCTGAGCCTGTCGTCATCAGACCGAAGCCACAGCGAGGAGAAGGAGGACCGATGGGAGGGCAGGGGAGTCCTTTCCCCTGGTGACGGACACAAACATTTGGCGAGTGGAGACAAGAGGGCAGATGGACACAGGGGGAGGTGAGAGCATGGAATGAGGGAGAGTGATGTCCTTATTATGAGAACAAAACTATCACAGCCCTCTCCGTATTCACAAAGTATTTATAGAGGTCTTTTCACGTTGTTTTGTATTAAACCAATGAGCCATTCTAAAGTTCCCCCAGTTGGATGTTTTCTTGCATGCATGTCAGATGGAGGCCTTTACATTGCCCACGGGTGTGAACACAAGTGATATATCCATTCAGCGTTTACTGAAGCCTCCCTGTGTGGTGCTGAGTGGAGTGAACCATTAAACCATAAAAGAGAAACAGGATATCTAAGAAGAAAATTGATAAAAACCACAAAATACCAAATAAGCTCATTTTGCTGCAGTTTTCGAATACAATATTTAGGGCTGCAGCTATTGATTATTTTATTAATTTAGTAAAAGCCTTGACATAAGAACACCCCAAGCCCCCCTTTAGACTTGCCGATGTTTACTGCTTCCATATAAAAAGGACGGCTGGAGTCAGCCTTCAGCTCATCTTCCTATTTTAATGTAGCTTTACTACTGTAGCTTTAGAGCTGATTTTTTGCTGTGTAAAATAAATGGTGGTGGACGAAGAGGCCTTTCTTAACGTCTGAGTTTGTTGATCAGGTGCTTCAATGAAGGACTCTTGCTAGCTGTTTCTCAGTAATGGTTTTAATGGTGATTACAGGAAGAGAGCTGCTGTTTAGAAACACTTTTTAATTTAAAATAATTGAATCATTCACATTACTCAGTGACTCGTTGCAGCCCTAAAAGTAATGCACTTTTTAAAAAAAGTAGTGGCAGTTCTTCTTGTTTTTATTGTTGAAAGACATTTATTGTGTAGTTAGGAAGGAAACTGTTGTTTACTGCCCAATTTCTAAAAGAGAAACTTAACTAAAATCTGCATTTTTATTGGACCTGCATTTTACCTTTATCTCTCTCAGTCTCCGTCCACGTGCGTCATCCAGCTCCTCACAGTCGGAACGCAGCACCAGCCCACTGGTAATGAACAACACCCAGAGCTTTGACATCATGCCTCGAGTTGCCATCCCTGCTGATGAGGAGGGTAAGAGTATAATAGAGTATAATAAATGCAGAAACTACCTTATCTACTTTTTTTTTTTTTTTGCTGCTGTGAAACACTACTACTCACACATTGTACCCACTATTGTAGATGGGATGGTTTCCAACCTGCGCCGCATCCGTCTCCGGAGCAACAGCACAGGTACGAGGCCATCCTTCAGGAGGGGGGCATCTCGACGCATCGCACATCAGTTAGAGACCCCAGAGAAACCCAGGTCCCCCTCTGGAAAAGTCCCCAAGTCTGCGTCAGTCTCTGGCCTTTCACTCATCATTACCCCAGGTATCTTTGCATCATGAATGCATTATAGAAAGTGTTTGGAATTAAAAGAAAATGGTGACAAGAAACGAGTGTTCATGTGTTCACAGTGCCCTCTACAGCCAATATTGTGTAATTATTGTAAATATTGTAAAGCACATTATTTATATTGAAGTCAAGATTAGAACAGTGTTTGTTTGGTTTTAATTACTGGATGCAGCATTTTAAAAACAGTAGTGCTTACACTTTATAAAGACTCAGCTGTGTTTCTTCCTGCTTCTCTTCTGCTCCTAACTAGATGACTCAGGAGGTCCTCCTACGAGCCCCAAATCTTCTTTGTCCCTATCATCCAACCCCTCGTCCAGAGACTCGTCTCCCAGCCGCGATCTGTCCGTCAATGTCAGCTGCCTCAGGCCTCCAGTGGTTATCCACAGCTCTGGGAAAAGGTTTGGGTTTGCGCTGCGAGCCATCAGAGTCTACATGGGAGACAGTGACGTCTACACCGTTCATCACATGGTCTGGGTATGTGATCTTATCTGGTACTGACTAGATTTATACTATATTGGGAATCAAAAGCATAGATGTTTAAATAACTTTATGGCCTCATTTTCTGCGCTGGCCCTAAAAATGAGTGAAATCAGCATCACCAAGCTCATCAACATGCAAACACTGAGAGACTGTTTGCTAGTTTTTAGGTATGCGTAGGTATAATTTAAAACCAAATGACTGAAAATAGTTTCCAGCACATGGCAAAGAAATTGTGCCATCTGCTGGTTTCCTGTTGGAACATGTCAAACTTCTTCTTTTACTGAACTGAGGTTTTAAACAAAGCTTATGAAATTTGGTATGATTCGTTTTACATTCTCGCTATTTGACAACAGCTGCTTCACTCAGCCAGAAAGCCAATAGTCAGACTCATAGAACCCCAAAAATTGACCCTCCTCAATCTTTAAAAAAAAAAAAAAAAAAAGCCTTTATAGAAGCCTCTTCATAGCCTTTCACTTTATAGGAGAACTCTGTGGTCATAATTTGATGGACATGGTCAACAACAATACTCAGACAGGCTGTTGCATGTAAACGATGCTTAGTCAGTACTAAGAGGCCCAAGCAGCCAAAAAATATTCCCCACACCATTACACCACACTGAACCGTTATTATAAGGCATGATGGATCGATGCTTTGTCAACCATCTGAACATTGCAGCGGAAATTGAGACTCATCACCCAACATTTTTCCAATCTTCTGTTGGCCAGTTTTGGTAAACTTGTGTGAATTGTAGCCTCAGTTTTCTGTTCAGGAACAGGAGTGGCACCCACTATGGTCACGGTTCAGAGATGCTCTAATTAGTTTCATATGAGTCTGTATATACCTTAGCATTCACAAACGCTTGACTCTCATCTGATCCTGAGGTGGGGTTGAAAATTGTAGGTGTACTCACTGTCAGAGCCCTGAAGCTGTAGGACAAGCTGCCTGATGAAATCAAGTCAGCAGACTCAGCGACCTCTCATAAATTTCTTCATGAAGCATACCTTTATTCATGAAACCTTTATGCTGCCGTGATACTTTGTTGCTATACGTGATATTTTTTTCACACAACAAGTTTAAACTAAGTAAACCAAAAACACTAGTTTTACTAATTGCATAGGTGAAACACAGCAACAGCCATTTAGATGGTTGCTTTACCAGTAATTGTGAGGTTGTGTCTGTTTGGATCTAGTGCGTTGAGGAGGGCAGTCCTGCACACGAGGCAGGATTGAGGGCAGGTGACCTCATCACTCACGTCAACGGAGAGTCGGTCCAGGGTCTCGTACACACTGAGGTGGTGGAGCTTTTGCTTAAGGTATGTGGATAACGTGTTTGTTTTGTTTTTTTTGTTGCTTTTTTAAAATGATCATTATAATGTATGGAAGATTAAAACTGTCAAATTAAAGAAAGAATTTAAATAGAAATTTCAATTTTTTATTTTATTTAATTTTTTTGCGACAGAGTGGCAACAAGGTGACCCTCCAAACCACTGCTCTGGAGAACACGTCTATCAAGGTTGGACCTGCTAGAAAAGCGAGCTACAAGGCCAAGATGGCCCGGCGGAGCAAAAAGAGCAAAAGGAAGGACGGACAAGACAGGTACACGGGCGAGAATGAAATCATACTGATGAATCGGACATGTCTTACTCCCGCTTGAAGCCTCATGTTAGATCTCAGATAAATAGCAGAGTTCCTATTTGCTGATTTTACAATTATAAAGTCGGCAAATGGAAATCTTTTTTTGTTTTTTTTCATTCTGCAAGTATGATTCGTGCATTAAAAACCTTAAAGCCTCCAAAAAGCTTTTTGTAAGAGAGACGGAGTGATGCTCCTAGAGAAGCTTTGATCAGCATTACAGTAACACGAGTTGGCTCCTTGTCTCAGATGTAAATGATGTAAATTTGATTTTTTAAAAACTTTTTTTTATTAATTTACTTTTGTAGCAGACGACGCAGCATCTTGAAGAAGCTGTCTAAGCATACACCGCCTCCACCCATGCAGAGCAGTCGTAGCTTCTCTTCGGGGTTCCACCAATCATCTAGTGACAGCCTCTCTGGCTCACCAACACAAAGCCTCTCTCCTGGGCCTTCAACACCTTGTCGCTCCCCAGCCCCTGACCACTCTGGAGGTGAGAGAAGAGGACGATCGTTCTTATAGTGATGTAGTTGTCTCTTTCTGGAGGAAGTGTATCCACTAAATCTAAACTCTTTTTTTTTTCTGTTAGATTCAAGTTCTTCTCCTTGCTCCAGCTCTCCAAACTCGCCCGTACCGCAGGCTCGTCCCAGTTCTCTTCACGTCTTGGGTCGCTACACAAAAGCTGGTCGTTGCAAGTCCACCAGCAGCATCCCTCCTTCGCCTCTGGCCTGTATCCCACCACCCCAATCTCTTTCTCCCCAATGCTCGCCATCTAGCCTCCCAAGTCACCCCAAGTCCCTGCACAGTTTTCACGGCAAGACTTTGTCACCTCCTACAATCGCTCGTCATTCTGTGCGTCCTCGCAGCGCAGAACCGCCGCGCTCACCGCTGCTCAAGAGAGTTCAGTCAGCAGAGAAACTGACTGGTGACAAGATGACTGGGGGTTACCACGGAGATAGGAAGGCTTACAGCACCCGACGTCACACTATGGAGGTGCCCTTGTCTGAGGGAGAGGGGCTGGAGGACCTAGAGGGAGACAAAGCTACAGGGTTTGTTTGCGTAGGCGAGCACGGCCGCCAGGGCCTACACATTGGAGGACAGAGAGGCCACCAGGACACAGCCAGCGGAGGCAGCGATCACCACCGCTCTGCTGCCTTGCCACAACACCGCAGCACCAACAACCACTCAAAAGAGATGGTGGTGATGAGGAAGCTGGCTCTATCAGAGCGCAGAGACTCCTTCAAGAAACAGGAGGCGGTCCAGGAAGTGAACTTTGACGACTTGGAGGAGGCAGCTCTAAGCCCCACGCTTCCTGTCACACAGTCAAAGGCGTTCAAGGCATCCTGGATCAACTCGTCACAGTCGGAACCCAGCGGCAAGCTGGGATCACAGGGTACCACACCGCAGAAAACCAAGTCAAAAGACAAAGAAGGGCGTTAGTTGTTCAGTTTTATTTTGCAGGGATCACAGGTCAGAGAAGATGAGGCTTTGACCTGCTATCGTACTTGCATTTAAAGGCCTTGCATGTGTCCAGAAAACTGTGACCAAGTCCCACATCATCACAGAAACAAAGAAGAGTCTGCATTTCTCCGTACCATACGCATCCTCCAACACTGTTAACAGATTAATGACTGCCAAACGATGTTTACTTCAGAGTTGCTCGATTTCTCTCTCAGTTCTCAAATCACTGTGGCGCCTCTAACGGATGTAATTGTAAATATTTGTTGTTTTAAACGAAGAAACTTATTTATGACTTTTTAATGATTGTTTGTTTTTGTTTTGTTGTTTTTTAATTTGTTTGTTTTATTGTTTTTTTTTTAAGTTGCTAAAAATGCCTCGGACGCTTCAGCTGTTCTATTTTTAGGAAGTGCACAGGAGAAAAGCCAGGCAACAACTTCTCAGTGTGGTCTTAGTAGGTATGGAGGGAAAACAAAGATAATATTAGTCAATATTGCAATATTCATATGATTCTTTTTTTTATACTGTTGTGTGTGTGCGTGCGTGTATGCGTGTAACGGGGTGTTGTTTCATATACAGACTGTAGTGCTCATCCTGCACTGTATATGCTAAAAAATTCCATAACACGTTTTTTGCTGCCTCTCTGAAGAAATCTATCATGCGGATTGTGATCGTGACGATTCGGAGTCATTGTTTCTCGACGCAGGGCATGTACAAATCGGAACAAAAGAAAAATAACAACATTGCAACAGTTGTCAGCTAAGCTGTGGCGCCAAAGCATGGTTTAGCTTAATAATAGGTACTGTAGTTGTACATAAGAGGCCTCATGTATGCTTGGGTCTACTGCCACTGGCTGTCCTGTTTTTTTGTTTTGTTTTTGTATCCGTGCTGCCACCCGTCTGTAAGTTGTTTAAATTATAACCTGATCAACACGCAGGTGTGTAGATAAAGCTTTGTGGCTACCTTCCCGGCTGCTGCATCCGACCTCTGATACCTTTGTGAACCTAACCTCCGTCCAGCTCCTTACAAGCGTAGTCTAGCAGAAGTGTTTGCACAAGTCGTAGCTGCCGTGTAACAGTGAGAGTACATTTATATTTCAGGGTGATCTCTTTCTCTGTGGGATTCAGAAATTGTACAGTGGATGCAACAAACAAATCTGGCTCACTTGGCTGTTTTTTTTGTTTTGTTTTTTTATGTGTTTTATGGATGAATGTTTACATTTCAATGCAAATATGTGGGTGGACTTCAGTGGAATCTGTTAAATTATTGTATGGGGATAAAAGAGAGGGGAGGCGCAGGAGAGGCAGACCTGAGGCCCTGGGTGGATGAAGGAATGATTCAGTGGTAATCTCCTTTTTGTATATTTTGATATGGAAACAGTCTTGTTGCAGTACTAATTACCTATGCTGTTGTATGTCATATAAACAATGGTGGACCTTATAACAGCTATCAGTGAAATGTAAGGGTGGATGGACTCGTGTAAGATGTGAGTTAAGTGGCATGGCTTTAATCCCAAGTTGCAATTGACTTTAAAGAGTTGTGCATCTTTTACATCCCAGTAAATCTCCATGGTTTTACTCTAGATTTTGAGAGCTTGGAAGTTTTGATGGATAGGCCTTGAATTCTTGAATTTGAGGCTTTCAGCTTTAAAATTTGTTTTTTACGGTGAGATATAAACAAATGGTATTTGGTTTTCCATTATGTACTCTTTAACTAGTTTTTACTTTTAAAAAAAAACATCTAATCCTGTTCTTGTTTCTGTTTGTTTTTTTTATTAGTAGTATTGTTTTACTCCAAGAACTGTTTGGATTAGCAACTAAAAAAAATCAAACAAAGTGGTTAGAGAAGAGGAATTTGTTGATTGTTCCTCTTTTTGTGAAGGCTCACATCTATGTTTTGCAGTCAAGGGAGATTTAAATAAGGGATTTCTCAAAGAATTTCAGCATATTGAACCTTGGATAAAGGTTATGTTGTGTGAATGAAAACGTGGACCTTTTTTCACTGTACTTTAGGGAGAAATGTGTGTATGTGGGTTTTATCACTAAATTTCTGATGCAATATACATTTTAATATGTTCTTAGTGTTGAATTGCTTTATTTTTCATTGTAGTATCCCATGACTTTTGTTGGGTCACCCTGTTAAACTTTTATAAATCAGGCACAGGTCTGAGCAGCAGCCCATTTTGCATCAAATGAAGCATCAGAGTGAACTCCTTGTCTCTGATCGGCTTGTGCGTTCATGTGTATGACAAATTCACTGTAACAGCCCCCACCCTTCACATTTTTCACTTGTGTTTTTGTATTGGTGTGCCCCACCACCATCACCACTCAACCCCCTTGTCTCTACGTGGCAAACTGCCCTTTGTGAAATGCCTACCATGTGGGTATCTGGTGCAGACTGGTGTGACATTGTCTGTTATTCTCTTGTCTCAACAGTGCTTGAAATAAATGAATTTCCAGAGGACTGGAAAGTCCAAGACTACAAGATGTTGCACTTGTCATTTGTCCTCCTACAATAATATTTGCACATTTACAGTACTGTATCAAAAAAATATATAGTTTTTCTTACTTCGTGCACCCATTTCTTAATTATTAGCTTCCAAGGAGACAAACTTTCTTGTAATTCTTTAAGTGCTCTGGAGCAATAGTTCTCCATGATTTCTGAAGGTCTTTTCAAAGTTTTTTGGGGGGGGCGTTGGCTCCTTTTCTTTAAATCATTTTTAGTCCAGTCCTTGTACTTGACCATTTTAAAAGGAATTTTAATTTTTCCAATTTAAAAAAATAAAATAAAAAAAAAATGTGTAACCAGTGTTGTGTAGCTGAAAACGTTGTACATCTTAGCATGGTATGCAGCAGGTCCTTAAAACATTTGAGGAAACTGGACAGTGGGAGACAAAATAAGAAGAAGCAAATCTAAAAACTAGAGCAGATGAACCTGAAAATCATGTCCTTAAAAATGGGAAAAAGTTCCTCAAAGAACTGACACAGGACTCGGATACCTCTATCCCCTTTAGTTGATCCATCACTGTTCACTGAAACCTCATCAGAGGCTGTGTTAGAGATCAAATTGATGGAATTATGAGTGCAAAAAGTAGCCTCAGATTTTAATCAACCATTTGGAATGCATCTAATGAGCAACAGCTTCGTTTTCGAGCATGACAATGATCCCAAACACCCTGCCAATTACAGGTAGGAATCACCAGTATGCAACCAGCTGCCAGCGAGCTGAGTTGAATCCCCTTGAATTGCCCTAATCTATAAAGACTCCTTCACAGTCATGGCAGCATGTTGGCAATCTGCCTGTATTTATAAATTAGAGGTTTTTTACAAACCTCCAACAACCTTCCTTTAGTGATTGCAGTCCATCCAAGCCAGAAAGCAACTCTTTGTGGAAAGGTTGCCTTCTGTAAAGTGAGATGAGCCCTCTTGTTCATAGTATTTCCAGAGTATTTTCATTTATTTAATATCAATATCTGATGTTCCTGTATGCAAGATATTGCAATACCATACTGTATAGATTTTTCCTCCACCCCTACTGCCAATGCAAAGTTAAAGTATCCCTGGGAAGAAAAGCAAATCAGTCATGGATTGGTCTCCCCAGAGCCCGGACCTCAAAATCATTGAAGCAGTGTGGGATCATCTAGACAGCCAACATCCAAAGAAGAGCTCTGAATCCTGGATAACCATTCCTAAAGACTACTTCAAGAACTTACAAGAAAGCAGCTCAAGAGAGTCAAGGCCGTGCTGAAGAATAATTTATATTTGATGATGATCAAGTATTTTACGCTAATTAACACATTACAGCACATGGATTTAGCGCGTGGTTCACCGCTTTCTTTTTTCACATGAACACATTTCTTTAGTTTAAATGTAGCTCAAAACACACGATTTGGAGACTGTCTGCTTCAAATTTCCGTTTTTGTTTTGTTTCTTTTTTTTTGTCTCCGAGTCTATTCGGTGACCCCCTCACTGATGGTTCGGACATTTCCGCTCACGTTCGTCACTTTCCGCGCACTCTTATATAGTTCCCACGCGCCCTCCTTCCCTGCACCGTGCTGAGCTGGAAAATGGCTGTGTGTTGGAGCAGGGAGTTATGAACGGGAAAAGAAAGAAAGAGCGAAAAGAAAGACGCGGAATTAATAAGTGAACCAAAGGCTTGCTGGAAGTTTAGAGCTCACCGAGAAGCCGTCGTCTGCAGACAAGCCAACACTCTGAATCTTGTGTGCGACTTTTGCTACGAAGCCAAAAGTGCGAAGAGTCAAGAAATATCCACGGTGAGTTTTTCCAAGTTATTGCACATTTCCAGTACGGCAGCCACTGTACTGGAAAATGGTGGAAGCGCTGCAAGTGTGCTCCGCACACGCAGCTTCACGTTGGTGACTTGTGTCCTACTTTTAAAGTTTAAAGGAGACCTACTTTTTTTTGTCTCGCTCGTGTGCGTTTCTGTGCTCTTTACGGTGAAATGTTAACTTTAATTCGCCCTCGCGCCGCGCTGCTCGGTGCTCGCGCTCGCTGACGTACAAATGCCGAGCAAGTTTTTTAAGCTGCTTCAAAGTTTAAACCGTTTTCTCTGGCTTATTTGTTGACGTGAAAACGATTAAAAATGACTTGTCAAGTTTGCCAGAATTGGTGCTAAAATATTCTGTAATGTCAGTGTCTCAGTAGTACTGTTTAGTTGTATTTTAACGCTACTAAAAAGACCCATTTGCAATATATTTGTAGTGTACTCCCCGTGTATACCATTGCTAGTATGTGTTACCAGTGTCTTTACCTTGGCTGCAGACTATGGGAGGCCTAAAGTAGCTGAAGGCCTGACTAGATGCGTCTCTTACATCCCTGGTTTAAGGATTTGGCATCCATCGAGGAGTTAATGGAAATTGTGCCACTTGCATAATGAGACAAGCCACTCAACTGTGCTGAGACCCCGCACCCCCCTGTCTTGTAATTATGAATCGAGCATTATGCAACCAAATGTCAGTCCTCCATTATATGCTTTATCGGTGTGATGCATGACTTGTGGCAAAGCTTTCATTCTTCTCTCAAATGTCTTGAAATGCTCTGAGTGACTGGCAGGGCTGTTGTATTTAAATGCCCCCCCACCCACACACACGTACACACACACAAACACACACACACACAAAATAAAAAGAGAGAGGAAATAGTGGTGCTTCTTGAAATGCCAAGTGACACCTCTCAGAGGGGGTGAAGAAAACCTAAACTAACCTCAAGTTCCAGCAGAGGCACTAAAGCTGTGGTTATTTTTGTTTGATGTCGAAGTTAAACTGAAATGGTCCTTTTTTATCAAAATAGCAGCAGAGTTCGTCTTTAAGGACAGTTTAGTCATGTCTCGCCTGGAAATACTGCATATTCTGTGCTTTGTGGGGTTGTGATTTTTTTTTCTAACTTCCCAGAGACAGTCATGAGTCGACTTAAAGTCCTAGTCGATTACCCTCCTGACCACAACACACTGGACACAAATCTTATTGGTCGCTTGCAATTATCTGGGACTTGTCTTTTGCTTTTTCCTGCAATCCAGGAATAACTTGCATTATCAAAACTTCTTTATTGTATCAGATTAAACAGATTCCTTTTAGAATTTGATTAGATTTGTTGTAATAAATGTGTTATAGATGTAGGCTGCAGTATGCTACCTGCATATTACCAATTTTCGGTCAAATGTAGTTGGTTATGAAAGGGTTTGGGAGCTTTTTTTCTTTCTTTGAGGAGGAGATAAAGGCACACATTATCTTGTTTGTGTCTTGTGTTTTCAAGTGATGCAGACTTTGCAGGTTTATCAGATTTGATATCTTTGGTGAAGTGGAAATGTTTAAATCCATAATCTTGACCAGATGGATTGAAGTTATCGCTTCTGATCAATAGACAGAGTCCTCTTTAACTTTAGAGCGTTGCAGCATAGTTGACTTTCCTGAACAGTGCAGTCTTGGTGCTAAATAATCTAGCAGATGTTTCTATTTAGCAAAGTGAGCTTTTCGGCTTCATTTGCGACAGAATTCAGGTGAACGAAACTGGAATCCTAAAATTCGTAAGAACCAATTTTAGTCTGGAAAGTTAGTCCTTGCAGGCTCTGGTGTTTTTGGCCCGTCCTATCTGCCTGTGGCGCAGCAGATTTTTCAGATCCATGTGGACAGATGGCCTGCGGCCAGACTGCATGCATGGTGGTTCTGTAGTCAGTACTTCCCCAGCAGGGCCGTGAAGTACCAAAACATGCATACACAAATACATTGTTTGTGCCCACATAAATGTCTGAACTTTTGGTTGCATTGTTGTGATTATTAAAGTTTTAAAGAGAAGAAATGATAGTAATGCTTATGAATAAAAGAAATCCCAGAATTTTGTCTGTGGAACAGGGAGTGATCTGTAATGTGACGTGTTAATCTTTTGTTTGTGTTTTTAAGCTTAGGGTGCATTCCTAAAATCCTAAACTCCTCAGCTGTTTTTAAAAAATAATTATTTGGTCAGACAGGTTTCCCTTGCCACTTTCAGATGCAGTAGTAACTACTTTCTTTCTGGCCTAGATGGATGTAATCAGTGTTTCCTTATTTTGGTGACATGGAGATGTGAGGGATCTTGCCAGTTAGCAACTCTTTGTTCACGCATAATCTCTCTAGTAGTTTTAGATGTGTTGTCACTTTTTGAGGAGCTTTTATTGCACTGATCATTAAATTTCCTTTTTGTTTTCATTCTCTCAAGAAGATTAATACTACAAAAAATCATAATCAGCAACATGGTGTTATACATCTGGTGTAACAGCTTAAAATGTCACACTGCACCACTGTTTGAGGGGGACTAAACCAACTAAGGGACATGGACATGTGCGCATCCAGTACTAAAGCACTGTGTCCACTGTGGAAGTGTTTAAATGTTCAAAGAGATGGACCTTCTCAAAGTTAAGCTTCTTGAATGTAATAAACTTTCTCAGACATGACCACTGAGCTGTTCAGGTGGAAGTAGTAAACTAAAAATGGCATATGGCAATGTTAGCCTCATGTGTCTGTTATTTACCACAACTGAAATAACCTTATTACCTATTACATATATTTATTTACTGTGTTAAATAAAAAAGTTCTTAATCATCATGAAATCATAATTTTTCTTCGCTATGACTGAAGTGATCAAAATTTGCATTTTGAGTGTAAAGAAGCTCACCAGCATCTAGATCTACATAGAAACTAATCTACCAGTTACAAACAGTGTAATTACTAATAATCTAACAATTATTATATATATTTAAATCACCATCATGGATCGGTCCTAAGGAAAAATTGGCTACAGCGATACTCTACATGAACATTTCTATTTTAAATGTCATCCTCGAAATCACTTTCTCTTAATTGGCAAATTAGTCATCATGAACATCAAGTTTGTTTACTTTTGTTAAAACTGATGACCAAAAAACCCCAAAACAATGATAATAACATGAAAAAGATAAATATTTGTTCACATTTGAGTTTTAGCACATTCCTC